TCGCTCATCGTTTCGTTGTCACATGTTCCCTTAGCACTGAAACCCTAGGACCTAACTAAACCCTTACTTCATCCTTGGCTGAGGCCTTGTTTTCAAATATGCTGGCGGGGAAGACTGGAGCTTCAATGAAGCTCTCTATTTCTCTGTGGCCTGGCTTGGTGTAGGGTGTGGACTTGGGGCGTCTTTGGTGAAGGGTTTAGAGTTTAGGTGCAGGGTGCAGAGTTGAATAACCGCAGAAGAGGACTTTGGCAAGCGCACCCTTCAAATTGGCGTCCCATCCCTTGATTGCATGGGGGCGCGGAAGTAAAGTTCCAGAGCTTCATCCTGCCTTTAAAAGGACTTTCCAGGGTCTCTGAGAAGCTCAAGGAAGCCGCCTCTCACGCCGCTTTGTTAAAAGCACGTTGGGCCTCCCCCCGGCAAATGCAATTGCAGAATCTGAAGCAGTCCTAGCAAATAATGAGCGTTTTGGGGTTCAGAGTCGGTGTAGCAAAGCCTCTCGGTTCTTCCGGTTCTCGCATTTGAAGCAACTTTATAATGGCTGCCCATGAACCTTCCAGCCTATTGGAATTAATCACCTCCTCTTTACAATGACCGCGCCCATAATAATCAATACCCACTATATAATATCATTAGATATTGGGGGAAATGAAAGCCAGTGCCTGCTGAGGGTCTGGCTGAGGGCTTTCAGCATTCAGGTTTTACCAGACCCACTAAGGTAGTGACGATGACCACCGTTGGGTTCGGGGACTTTGCTCCCATCTCCACGAACGTTCAGAAGATTCTGGCTGTGCTTTTCATCATGCTGTCCATTACCCTGCTGCTTGGCCAATTTTTTCTGGGCTACCCCGAAGTCAGCGTGGAAGGCAAAAGATGCGAAATGACGCTTAGGGTAAAGTATAGTATTTTTTTGCGGATATTATGACCCACAAGAACAAGAAAACATATATCCTACATGCAGTACTACAGGAAGGAACTGCGTAGGCCCTTTGGGTAGCCCCTGGCGCTAAATGCCAGTCTTCACAATGAACTTTCCATACATCTTAAGATGGACCTCATGACGCTATATCTTTGCAGGGCCGATGAGGGCGCCTTGTTTTGAGAAATCCTCATATCCGGCCTGCTCACAAGGTTGGCTGTCCTCTTTGGCTTCATCAGTGCGGACGCGGGTTTGGGGTTGCAGGGTTTTAGGTTTGAGGCCTACGGTGAATGGAGGAAATCGCGCATCACCTAGGGAACCCAGAATATCGCAATTCCTATAGGGTATAGGGTGTATAGGGTGGTGCAAGATTTCCTCTGTCCGCAACAGGGTTCAGCGGGTCAAATTCAGAATTGATTACATCTTCCTTAGCCAGGAGGCTCATGGAATTCCTTTTAATTATCCCCCCGATCCGCAAAGGCATTTCGACAGATTCCATTTAGATTTAGAGTTGGAGCCTTAAGAAAGTGTGGACCCTTCGCCTATTTAGAGGGCTCTAAGAGGCTCTTATATTAAAGGCCTATATATAAGGTCATAAAGCACTGAAACCCCGAAATGCAGATTTGTACTGGCCCCTATATAGTCCCCAATGGTTTAGTAGTTTCCCTGTTTCCCATTTTCTTGTCTTCCCTAATCCCCTCAAGTCCCCTAAACCCTAAACCCTAAACCCTAAACCCTATTCATTCCCTAAACCCCTCAAGTCTCCTAAAAGGAAGCCCAAAGCTTGAGCTGCGACTTCGACCTTGCCTGCACCCCGAAGAAGCGGCGCTGCGGCGGGCTTTGCCGGGCACTTTTCCAAACAGGTCCCAAAGGGAGAGAAGGGGGGGGAGGGGTTGGGGTTAGGGGGTTTAGGGTTTAGGGTTTAGGGGTGGGGGGGGTGGGGGGTATAGGATTTGCTGGTGTTATATAGCGATTATAAATCATATAGTATTGGAAAAGAAAATGGATATTTAGGGTGGGGGCGTGATGCAGCTTCTTCTTAAACTTGCACTCCCACGAGCTAATAGGGTAATTACCCTAAAAAGTCTTGTATCTCGGCTTTGTAATAAGGGGGCTTCATGCGGTTCTATGTTATGTAGTTTAACGGAGGGTAGATCAGCCCACTTTCAATGAAGCCTCGTACCCTCAAGGGGCCGCCCTAGCTCTAGTAGGGACATTTGAACTGTCCTTGGGAGGACAGCCCTGACACATTTTATTGCAACGATGGAAAGTATCTTAACCCCGGAATTCCACCGCCTAAACCCTTCGCCCTAGGACTTCACCCGGGGCCTTCGCTGTTGCTGCTGTTGCTACATGCTGTCTGCGGCGCCCTCTTCGTGGCAGTGGAGTCGTGGACTCTCAGAAGCAGCTAGGGACTGTGGTTTGGTGTACGGCGTAAAGCCAAGGGTCCGCATGGCAGGTTGTCGAAATGATTTTCCTCTGATTGTGTAAGTACCCCTCAGATTAGCATCAACATTGCATGGTGAAGGGGGCCCAATGCAGACAGCACTTTTCACAACCTGCTATGTGGCTTCTGCAAACAGTATTATGGGGGGGCTCCAAGGTTCCTTATCAATGGAATGTGCCTTGTTTCCTAAGAGTTACAACGTTATGATTACCCTAGGTGGCGCAAGCTTTCCTCCGCCCAGGCGCCTACCGTTGATACCGAGAACACTGCATGACTTAGGTTTAGGCCACTCATGTCCGCAGAACATTGATATAAAACTAAATATGTATAGAGATGCCACACATCCTACCTACAGTTGAGCAGTTTGGCGTCAATGGAACCCCCCCCCGATCCTGGGCATCTCCGAGTTTGTGCACAGCAGACTTCAACCTGCGAGCCTTACCTGTAACCCTGATTACTGTAAACGTATGTCAAGGACATATAGGGTTTGTACAGTGAGAAAATGGAAGCTACCACATTATTATTTAGGGTTGTAGAGTGTACCTGTAACCCGAATCACCGACAGTTCTATAGGTCACGCCCATGAATTAGGCGTCAATTGCTACTAGGCTGTAGGTAGTGCTTCTACAAAGACTACGCCCGACCACAGCACTGTAAACAGGTAGCTCGATGGCTTGGGAGGCTAGGCCCCAAACCCTACAAACTAGCTACGAACTAGACCCTACATCTCTCCACTCAACCGTCCTTTGAACAGGAAACAGGGGTGCTGTAGGGGGTTCCCATGCCAGCCTGGGAGAGGGTAAGCCTGAGGAGCTTTTTGGATAGCATCTATTTCACCTCTGTGGCCCTTACAACGGTTGGCTACGGGGACCTTACGCCACAGACGGCCACTTGGTACAGGTTAGAGTTGGGGCTTTGAGAGAGCCAGGATTGTGCTGCTTTATGATATACGGGTTTATGCGGGCTAAATGTTCACGAGGTTTACCAACAGGTGCCTCACCTCGTTGAATTGCAGTTCTTGTTCACCAATCCTGCGGCTGCGTTGTGTGGAGAGTGTTACCCACGAGGTACGGAGATCTACCACGATTTATGTTCGGTCTCCGGTGTAGGTCTCTCCGCTTTGAGATTCTGTCACCCGTAAACCAGAAATAAGCAGTGGGGAGCACCCAGCTCAACCCGCACTAGGAGTATCTTGCAGACAGCCAACTACCTGGGAAAGTCCTCATAGTTCAAAGGACTTTGACAGCGTTGCATTAACTTGGGCCCGAACTTGCTTGCAGAGGAGTCTTTCTTATGCCCTAGCTGAGACCTTCGTAAGCCCTCAAAACTAAACCTTAGACCCTACTCTCATCTGCTCTCCAGATAGCATCATCATCATCATCATCATCATCATCAAGGCCCACCGTGCCCAACGGAATGGCATCCGAGCATATTACACAAAGATTCTAGGGCCCGCGGCGGACGTCAGAAGCAGGGGACTGGGGAAGGCGATTCCATTTCTGAGCTTCCGGGTCGCTCTGCGATCAGCACGGCCTTGCTGCAGCCTAGTATCTGTGTAGGTATTCTTTACTCCCCAGTCTACCTGCTCTTAGAATGTTATGTGTAGATGTGTTTTGCCTAGGGAACTGAACAGCTGCAGTAGTCCTACACTCCCCGTGCTTGCAGTCCCAAGGCTTACCTACGCCACACTCCTGGAGCTGTAAAGTTATTCGCATCATTGTTGGGTAGGTTGCGTTACGCACGTTGTATCTCTGAAGAGATTTCACCGACAAGTGGTCTGATTTGGATTGTTAGTAGTAATTAGTACTGCAACAGCTCGCATTATTGTTGCTTATGTAGCCTCTTATACCTCCCTCTTCTTACTGTTAGCAAAACTACTACCATCGTTACCAGTGGCGTCTTGCACTAGGACTCCCAAATCCTCAACGACGAAGGACATCGGGAGGACGATTACGACTGGACTAGTGCTCACTGGAGTTCCCTCCACAGCGGCCTTGGTGGCTTCCTTGCTGCTAGGCTTGTTGAATTGTGGGTTTCTTTAGTCTCCAGGAATGATTTTCAATGTTCATTAGAGTTTAACTCTGTAAGGAAGTAAGAAACACAAAAAACATCTCATAGGTCTAAGGAGACGTCAGGTTTACGGTTGAGGGATTTATGTGGAGGGGCGGGTCACTTATGATAAGCTACTCAGAATTTCAAGCAGAAGGCAATGCTAGCCATCTGTGGGAGACTTGTAGGTCTCAAATTCTGTATACTTGGACTTGTAAGCAGGCTGTAGGCCTCCCAGCATCTCTAAGTAGGGTTTAGGATACCAGATACCATTCCTAGCAGTTGCCGTGTCAGTACTACGGTCATTTCATTGACGCAATGATCTTGGTTGATGTTCGGGGGATTCTGTCGTTCTCTGGATCTACCGGATTGGTCCAGTGTTCGGTCTCAATATTCTTACTCGCGCTCAGCCAGGAACTGTGGAATGGGTCAACACTTTGCGGAGCCATTCTCTCATTCCCTGCTTTGTATGCATGTGCACATCCGCATGCGGGAGGCAACGGGATGGACAGGGGAACGTTGTTGATTGCCCGTTTCATCCTTTGTGGCCTGTTTTTTCTGACGCCTGACTTTTCTCATCTGTATGACGAGTACCAAGCGGCATATCTTCAACACTATCGCGCCGTGTACAGCCCGCTACGTTTGCTCCGAAAGGTGCTTGAAAACCCGTAAGATTCTTTTTTTCTGTTCTGGGACCGCAGCACATCAGAGACCCAGCCGCAAAGCCTTGAACGTGAAGCCGGCCCATGTCCAGCCCATAGATCTACACAGCAAACATAATGCTGGAACACCCCGTTTGGTCATTTCCCCGCCTCGCTTGGACAGGCGGCTTCGTTTGGCCTATGAATGAGACCTGCATAGATAGCTCAGGTGTAGTTGAAGTGTTCTCCTAAATCCCTGGCTTATGTCGTTGGCACCTAGGTCGGGCAGATTATCCGGCCGGATTGTGCGTCGTTTTCAGAAGCTGGATGACTGACTCGAGCCTCAGCTTAAATTGTGTTTTTTTGCTGGATATGTTATCCGATAGTAGGTATGATGTTTTAGCCCAGCAAGGACAATGAAGCTGCACTGCCTGGATATTGCAGTAAGGAACCACAGTTGTGGTCAATTTTGTGGTTTCCTGTCGATTGGATTGGTCTTCAAAACACAGCCAGGTAGTAGACTGAAGGGTACACATGGGGTATGTACAAGGTATGTACGGACCCCACGCGCATGTTCTCATACAAGGGGCTGATGGTCTTGGGGCTTGAGTTTTATTTTGGCCATCGTATTTAGGAAGCTTTGACTAGGATTTGCCAGCTCAGGTTTGGACTCTTGCAAAAGGCGTCCCTTGAACAGCTTTTGTTTCAGGATACTAGAAATTTGCAGAGCCTGAGGCTCTAACTCTATAAATCACGCCAAGTTTGGGCCCTGAAGTCTGTAGATGCTACCCGCTTCAGATCATTTTCAGCTTTAGGGCAGGGGAGTAGCACCTCTTAACGTATTGGGCTTGCCGCCCACGAAGTCCCACCCAAGTATGGGCTAATCAAGTTGTTATTACAGTGTCCTTCAGCGAGGGTGGGATGAAGTGGGGTATGTCTGACGCAGCCCTCAACAGGATCCCTTGCTCTTCCACTCGTAGCATGGACAAAGTACCTTGCTGATGTGGTCCAAAGGTCCCTTCCACAATAGCAAGACCCAGCCAACTGGGTTTTGTGGCGGCGAAGGCGGTCCTTGCCAGAATATCCCGATAACGCACGGAACCTGAAAAGGCCACCTTCAAACAAACGGAAGCCTTAGCAGGGCAATCTTGGGGCATAGTTATCATATTATGACTATAAGAGGGTCCTTTTTTGCGGGTTGGATTATGAGTTCCAGGCCCCACATAATCCTTGCGTAATTATTGTTTTTGGCCTCGAAAGCTTCTCGTCCTTATTATAGGGACCCCCAAGCAAAGACCCCTAATTTCCGAAAGCTACCCTTTACTTTACTAAAAACTAGAGCTAACTCAAGCTAATTCACCCTTGAGGTTTACCAAGCTATGTGGGCACATATGGCGTCTGGAAGCTCTGGGGAGGTGGCGGGTGGACTTGCAGGAGCCAGCTACAGGGTTTGAGGTTTTGGCTTACTGCTCAGGGTTTGGTGCATAAAGGGTTTAGGGTGTAGGGTTGAGGGTACTGGGTTTTAGGGTACAAGGTTTAGAGTTTAAAGCTTGCTCACCTTCTCACAGTCTAGAGCAGAATTTCTCTCCATTGGTACTACGGAAAAAGTTCTAAAAGATAATGAAAAGTGTTGCCACTGCGGTACCATTCTGTGTTAGGATATTTATTCTTAATTGAGGCTGGAGGCGGGATCTGTGCTTCGGAACAGCCAGCTTACTTAGCTTGCGGTATGCAATGTGGAGGATTAATAGATGATTAGAGTAGGGTCTGTGGGCATATTTGAAACCCCTGCATGTGATCCAGAAGGTCATTATTCTACATACGTTGGGTCCAACTAGGCCTTATGCTCCCCTAAACCAACATGGAACTCCACAAAGGCTGCCTCAGCGCACAGTAAGAGCAGTCGACAGACCATGCACCCTAAACCTGAAGCCTTGTGAGCCCGAATTCCCCAAAGCCTTGCAGCCTAAACCCGAAACTTCCCCGGCCTCAAAACACAAGGCTTAAACCCCCACACCATGCAGCCTACATCCTACACCGAAGCAGGACAACATGGTGGTGAACTGGACGATTGTGGACACAACGCGATGCACGTGAGCAGCTCCCTCGAGCGAAGCTTCCGTCTAGGTTCCGGGTGAACGTTTCCAGGGCTTAGGTAAAGGCCACAACAAGGCTAAACTGTACCTATACCTCCCTGCATATCTGTATACTTCTTACATGCTTGTTACAACCCATTAAATGCGGTTGCAACTGGGATTCTCGCAAGCTACACGGCTGCAGGTATAATCCGGTTTGTAATTTCCAGAGGTCCCAAGGAAGCAGCAGAATTTTTAGCCCTAAACCCCGAAGCCTATAATCATAAGTCGACCATCATTTTGAAGTTCCAGCACTTTGCTAAGTAAGACTCTAGGGCTCCAACTGGCGCGAAAGTAGATGATACTAAAAGACTTCAGGACCGAAAGTAGGTACCCGGGGTGTCCTGAAATCAGAGATGCTTGCCAATTCTAACCCCCAATAAGCAGCAAAACATGATGTTGGGTTCAGTATTTAAGGACCACAGAGCTCGTTCCTTGCATGCAGAAATTCTAAAAGGATGTTTTAGGTTCGAGGCTACGTGTCGGGCTTAGGGTTCAGGCGAGTTTAGGGTTCGTGGATTCTTTAAATAGGTTCCTGGAAAGCTAGCGACAGATAGTTTGGTCCACGTGTACCTAATTCATTCATTGTCGTATAATTTTGCGTGAAGCAGCCCATCATTTTGAATAACTAGGTGCACCAGGTGCTGAAGAACCAAGGTGCTGTTTTAAGCCGCAGGAGCAAAAAAAAGTGCTTTTGGGATCAGCGACGGGTTTACATGAGTATTTCTCCAAACCTGGGTTCTCCCCTACTGTTGGTACTACAAATTCTGCATGACCTTGTTATGCTAAAACACCAAATTATTCCCAAGGTACAAAGTACCTCAGGGCCATGCAGGACTGTGGATTTTAGCAGAGTCCAAAACGTAGACTGGAACCTTCGCAACACAGCCGAGGGACGAAATCCTGCATGACCCAAGGTAGCGTCTACTTCCGTAACTCCTGGGATTTGGGGTATGGGTTCATGCAGAATTTGGCCTCATAAGCCGGAAACCTTACACCCCAACCCTCAACCCTAAACTGAGCGCATGGCTTTTGCCAAGGTGGCTTTAGTTTCTGCCTAA